AAAATTAGCTGAGCATGGTAGCACACACCTATAATCACAGCTACTTAGGAAGCTTAGGCAGGAGAATTGCTTGAACCCAGAAGGCAGGAGTTGCAGTGAGCTGAGATCACACCACTGCACTCTAGCCTGGGAAACAGGGCGGGACTCTGTCTCAAAAAAAAAAAAAAGTCTGACAAGACTGTGAGGGGCCATGCAAGCTAAACTAAGAGGTATAACTCCCACAGGAAGGACCATTGTTGGGGGGGGGATAAAAAAACTATTTTACAAATTTTGTATTTATTTGGGCTTTAAAGATTAAATATTGGAATTAAACCACAAATGGTTATGATACTAAATTTGTCTTCCTTAACGTAATTGTACCATACTATTGATACTAAGAACAAATCTAGTAAACTACTAAAACCTAACAGTATGTGGTCAAGACTAGCAATCTGGGTTCTAATAAATAGAATGATCATAACTCTATCCTAGAAAATACATTTATAATAAGCAACAACAGGAAAGTTGGGGATAAAAAATAATACTAGCAAAGTAAGGTGTGATTCTGGCTATCTTTATTATTTTATATGGTTTTCCTAACACAGCTGGACACATTCACATTTGTATATATCCTTAATAACTTCGCAAGGATTATCCCTGACTCATTCATGTTGTTGACCTAACTGCATTGAGACCATATTGGAGCTTTTGCCCTCTGAATGTATATACTCATTATTATGTGCCATTAAGTCAGTTTAGTGTTCCAACATGGTACTAGAACACTTCAGTCTGTTTTAATAAAAACAAACTACAGATGCAAAGAAAGGAAGCAGTATGCATTCTGCATTACCTGCATTCCAGCCAGAATAATGGAAAACAGAGTACTTACCTGGGGGGGCAATTCTACATGCATTTACTGCCTGACCTTGGTTAATTACATCCATTTCTGCCTAGCCTGATTACTTCTTGAAGGGTTTTAATACCTGGATATCTATGAGTCAGGCATTAGTAAACATATATATAATCTTACAACCTTACAAGTTATGTATTCTTCCTCCATTTCAATGACAAACTAAAGATATGACACCAAGTGACTTACCCAAAGCCACACATCTAAAGGACTACAATCAGGATTTCAAGAGTGTGGCTCTCAACCCTCTGCAGAGGCTTTCGTTCAGAGTTGAGGCCGGGCAAGGTGGCTCGCGCCTGTAATCCCAACACTTTGGGAGGCTGAGGCAGGTGGATCACCTGAGGTCAGGAGTTCAAGACCAGCTTGGCCAACATGGTGAAACCCTGTCTCTACTAAAAATACAAAAATTAGCCAGGTGTGGTGGCGGGCACCTGTAGTCCCAGTTACTTGGGAGGCTGAGGCAGGAGAATGGCTTGAACCTGGGAGGCAGAGGTTGCAGTAAGCAAAGATCATGCTATTGCACTCCAGCCTAGGTGACAGAGCGAGACTCCATTTCAGAGAGAAAAAAAAAAAGTTAAAGTACACAAAAATACTATCATAATATATGACAAAAATGCCATTGTGTAGGCATTTAAAGTAGGGAATTATACAATTTACTTCCTACTTCAAAATATTACATAAACCTAATACTATGTATCTAATAACTTTAAAAAAGCCATGGCTGGGCACAGTGGTTCATGCCTGTAATCCCAGCACTTTGGGAGGCCAAGGCAGACAAATACAAGGTCAGGAGATCTCGATATTCCTGGCCAACATGGTGAAACCCCATCTCTACTAAAAATACAAAAATTAGCCAGGCATGGTGATGTGTACCTGTAATCCCAGCTACTCGGAAGACTGATGCAAGGCAATCACTGGAATCTGGGAAGCAGAGGTTGCAGTGAGCTGAGACTGCACTCCCGCCTGGGCCAGTGACAGAGTGAGACTCAGCATCCGCCCCCCCCAACCCCCCAAAAAACCCACACAGTTGAATTGTATTCATTCTGTATTTCTCTTTAGATGGGAAGTGGAGGTTGCAGTGAGCTGAGACTGCACTCCAGCCTGGGCCAGTGACAGAGCGAGACTCAGCATCCCCCCCCACCCCAATTTTGAATTGAATGAATACAATTCAAAAAACCACGTACAGTTGAATTGTATTCATTCTGTATTTCTCTTTAGATAAAATCAATGTAAAACTAGAACTGATAGCTTTTTTAAAAAAAATCCAGTCATAATTTTGACTTCATTCACACAGGTTTCTTGAATTTTAAGCTAAGAGAGACATTTTCCTTAACTTCATGGCAGAACTTAGGAGTCTCACCAAACACAGAAATACTGGCAACTCGATTTCACTAGTTAACACCTCACTGTATTTATGGAGCCATTCCAGGTGATCATTGTAGCACTCTCATATTCCTAACAAAATCCTTCTAATTACAACTTGAAATCTGGTGGCCCCAAGTTCTCACTTTATTATCCCAGTAGTTTTAAACATGAAAATGCTGCATAGCTTACTGCAATCACTCAATGGCATTCCCTTGCTGCAGCAGCATCTGACACTGCCAGAATAAGAGTTCTATTAAGTGAGACAGTAGGGAAAGAGTGTTCTCCACATAGAAGGCCAGGATGCCCTGGCATCATTCTCCTGGCTCTCTACTTACTGTCAGGAGGCTAGGAAGAGAAAAAAGAGCCAATCATTTTTTAAACTCTCACTCCTGCAGGGGGGAAAAAAAAAGCAAAATCTCTGTGGTCAACTGTTCAGCCAATAGACATTCAATCCAATTAGTCCAGCGGTAGTTTCATTGCTTTTAGGCACCAGTTTGGTACTATCCCATATACATGCCACGTATTTCACTGAACTTTAAAAGCCAGGTAGAATTGTCATAAATCATATAACAAAACATATTTATACTTTAAGATAAAGATCTCTCTGGCTGTTTCAGATGTTCAAATGCCAGTGTAAGAAAAACCCCTGGTCTTCCACTGATTTGGTTCAAAATATTTTACAGACTGCACCATATGTTTGAAATATATTACCTCTCCTGTTACCAATACGAAAAGAAATGTGGACCTTTGGTTCCTCAGAAAAACACAAACATAACTGTTACTTTTTTTTTTTAAAGAAAAACTTATCAAGAGATGAAATCTGGAAAACTTAAAGTCTTTAATCTAATAAATTATTCATTTTATATTCCAATACACAAAGAACTCTTGTAGACAAGAATCAGACTCAACAAACTAAAAATAGCATGTACCTAGGATCCTGGCAGTTTACAGGTGTTTCATTAACCTTTACTAGAGCAACTCATTAGAAGCATTTAAAACTATTAAGAAGTGGGGAGGAGGAAGCCTAAGTGATAAAAACTACATCTCTTATCTTTTTGAAACCCTTAAAGCTCTATGCTCTATTTATACTACTTAAGCAAGCAAATAACATAAAATTGCGAATTTAAATTCTAAGATTAATTCCTTGATGGAAACATTAATGGTTATGTTTCACTCCAAAAGTGGGTCAAACAATACTAAAGGGGGAAAATCTACTTTTAAAAACGTAATTTAAGAGCAAGATGGGGATATACACTAGACAACCTTCACTTTGAAAAAGACAAAAAACAAATTCAGAGTTTTGCCTTGTCTCTTCTGAGTCCTTCAGAATAATGCCTGAAATACACTAGCTGAAATCAAAGACGATTACTGAGCAATGTTCTCTTTTTACAAGACCCCCGCAAGACCAGCAGTCACTTCCTTTGGAAGTGCCCTGTGGCTGAGGCCATGTGGTTAACATGTGGCAACAAGCACAAGCCTTACCCATCAACACCTAAACCCAAATGTGGACGATTATGCCATTCTAAAATAGGTTTTCGCGATATGGAAAAACCTAGATGGAGGATGGCTAATCGAATTTCATGTCTGTCTCGTTTGTAATTACATCTGTTTCATTAATACAAGAAACGATGCAAAGACTACCGACTGCCGCTATGGTTTTGGAGGTTTGACAAATTCGTGTTTTTTTTTCTGGTAAGGGCGCTTTTAAAGGATCCCAGCAACTTAAATCGTGTTGACTCAGGGAAAGTGAGCCCCATTAGCCCCTTTTCGAATGCTAATGTAAGACAAGCAATTTAGTATCTAAATGACGGTAAGAATACTAGAATCAGGAAACCATCAGGTATGGGGAATACAAACTCTAAAGGCTCACAAGTTTTCTAGCAGTGTCTGGCCACCGGAAACACAAGGGCATCTTCAAAAACCCTTTTCTTTTTTCTTTTCTTTTTTTGTGAGACCGAGTCTCGCTCTGTTGCCCAGGCTGAGTGCAGTTGCGCGATCTTGGCTCACCACAACCTCCGCCTCCGAGGCTCAAGCGATTCTCCTGCCTCAGCCTCCCGAGTAACTAGGCCTACAGGCGCGCACCACCATGACCGGCTAATTTTTGTATTTTTAGTAGAGACGGGTTTTCACTATATTGGCCAGGCTGGTCTCGAACTCCTGACCTCACGATCCGCCCGCCTCGGCCTCCCAACGTGTTAGGCTTACAGGCGTGACCCACTGCGCCCGGCCTAAGAACTCTTTTCTAAGGCCCCCAAAACCCTTGGCACATTGCCCGTCAGGCTCACGACCCCAGCACATGGTCTGCACCCCATTCCCTCTTCGTCCGCAGCCGGGAGCCTTTCCCCACAACGCGGACTCCTTCCACCGAGTTCCCGCCAAATCCACCCTCTGCCCCTCATCCCGCGACTCTCGACGCATTAGGGCCTCAGCCCCAAGGGCGCACGGGCCCTGGCCTCCCTGCCCTAAGCCTGCGGCCTGGGGTGCGGCCCTGGCGCCGAGAGGCCCCCATGCTCGGCGACCCAGCTTCCCAAAACGAAGAAAGGGCAGTAGTGTCGTCCGACAGCGGTGGGCCAGAAACTAGGGTCCGAGGAGGCGGCCGCAGCCGAGCTTCCCGCCTGACGCAGCAGCGGCGCAGGCCAAAGTGCAGCCGCCATCGCCGCCTCGCCGCTCCCTACCCTCTCTGTCCGCCTCAGAACCTGTCCGCACTGCGGTTCCCTCAGCGCCGGCCCCCTCCCCCAGCCCTCACCTTCTGCGTCGGAGCGGGCCCGCAGCGACGGAGTCTCAGACGCAGGCCTGTGGAAGACGGCTCGCAAGGTAGCGGCTGTTTATTTTGAGGGTCCTTGCCTGCGCCACACGCGGGTCTGCACACGGCCCCACGTACGCCGCTGCGCACGGCTCTCCTCCGCCTCGCCCATGCGGCCAATCAGCGCGCGGGATTCGGCAGTCCAATCAGAGACGTCCGCGGGAGGGCCGCCCTGCTGGAGCGCGGCGCGGCGCGGCGCGGGACGGGACTGGTGTTTCTGCGCGCCGCTGCCTTTCCCGCCGTGCCACGCGTGCGGCCTTTCCCGCGGGGGATTATAGACCCAGTGGCCCTCGGGCCCTTCCTAGATGGGTTCGGGCTCTGCCCGACTGGATGGAAATCTGGCTGTCTCCGCCTTGTGGTCTCTCTTGCCAGCTGGAGCCTAGGGATGCCAGGGGACGGGTCTCGGTGCAGTGACTGCGATTATCATGGGACCACAGAAAGTTTCTCCTCGTTCTCGGGCTCCTACCAGGCCCTTGGCTTTCAGAGCCGGGTACGATCTCCAGATACGTTTAAGTTTGTAGAAAAGGGGTGCCAGGTCACGGTGGTCACGGCTGTGGGATACAGGCGCTAAGATTTGTATTGGTTTTTGTGAGCCGGGGAAAGGCCTTGCTGCTTTCTCCGCCAGGACTGATGTATCTTCCCAAGATGAAAGTGCCTGGTGAGGGCGAGGGGCCTCCGTGGGAAGGTCATGAGCATGGAAGGGAGTGGGGCCCAGACACGACGTTTATCTCGTTTATGAGTGACATCCCCCGGGAGGGCCAGGAGAGCCATTTGACCTGGTCCGTCATATTCAGGAATGGATTTCAGTTTAGATTTGGTATTTTCTCCAAGAGAGATGTGTGTATATAGTCCTAGATAGTCTTGTCAAGATGAAACCCAATTTCAGTTGTTCACTATAAAATATTTTAGAATTTTGTGTCTCATTCAGAATGGCTTTATTTGAAACAAAACAAGGAAGAGTCCCAAGTCTCATTGTTTTGACCCAAGTTTCATCTCAGTGGGATCCCCCAGTTCAATGCTATGATTTTTCTTTTTTAAGGTCTCGCTCCATCGCTGGGATTACAGGTATGAGCCGCCGCTCCTGGATCCCAGTGTTATGATTTTTGAAATCATGGTCGGGAGAAGGCAGAGCACATGTGTTGAGAGTCAGGCATTAAACCTGGGTTCAAATCACTAGTGATTACTTAATCATGGTAAAGCAGTTAGCAGATTGTGTTCAATATAGCAGTTGTCAAAGAATGAAGGTATAACTTTAAGGACCAATAATATTTGAAACGTTTTTTTTTTTTCTTTTTGAGACGGAGTCTCGCTCTGTCGCCCAGGCTAGAGTGCAATGGCACGATCTTGGCTCACTGCAACCTCTACCTCCCACCTTCAAGCGATTCTCCTGCCTCAACCTCCCCCATCCCGAGTAGCTGGGTTTACAGGCATGCACCACCACGCCCGGCTAACTTTGTATTTTTAGTAGAGTAGTAGAGTTTCTCCACATTGGTTAGGCTGGTCTCGAATTCCCGACCTCAGGTGATTGGCCCACTTTGGCCTCCCAAAGTGTTGGGATTACAGGTGTGAGCCACTGAGCCCAGCCAACTTTTTTTTTTTAATGGAATGCTTCACAAATTTGCATGTCATCCTTGCGCAGGGACCATGCTAATCTTCTCTGTATCGTTCCAATTTTAGTATAAGTGCTACCGAAGCGAGCACCCAGCCCAACTTTTAAAATTTATTTATTATTATTATTTTTTGAGATAGTGTCTCCCTGTTACCCAGGCTGGAGTGTAGTGGTGCCATCTCAGCTCACTACAACCTCTGTCTCCCGGGTTCAACCAATTCTCCCTCAGCTTCCTGAGTAGCTGGAACTACAGGCACCCACCACCATGCCTAGCTAATTTTTGTATTTTTAGTATAGATGGGGTTTCACCATATTGGCCAGGCTGGTCTTGAACTCCTGGCCTCAAGCGATCCAGCTACCTTAGCCTCCCAAAGTTCTGGGATTGCAGGTGTGAGCCATCTTGCCCAGCCTTAAACATTTTTAAATTTTCATTATTATTTTTTAAGACAGGGTTTCACCACATTGGTCAGGCTGGTCTTGAACTCCCGACCTCAGGTGATCCACCTTCCTTGGCCTCCAAAGTGCTTGGATTGCAGGCGTAAGCCACCATGCCTGGCCTAACATTTTTTTTAATAAAAGCAACCTAAAGTAAAATTTTTTAATCAAAGCAATCTAAAGTAAAATATTTTTAGATTCAGTATAAAAAGTCCCCATTTCCAATCAGATTGAATAAATGCCTAGCAGCTTATGTATTGTGCTAAAACACAATATATTATTTGCCAATAATAAAACAGTATTTTGCATTTATATAGTTTTATTACCAAGAAGCTTACTCAGCTTTATAGATTTCCCCTCTGTAATCTGATTAATCTTTATAGTATCTTGAGGTAATGTACAGTGTAGCAATCAGTCACTTAAGTAGTGACTTCTGAGCTCTAACAATGAATCAACATAATGCAAGAGGCTGTGTGTGAAGTCCAACCTGGGTGTGCCCACACCACACCAAGAGGACAAGTTAAAATTACCATAGGAGCCAAAAATTAATATTTTCTGACTTATTTCTGTTTACCATTCCAACCATAGTGCTGTATAAAATATTTGCTATTCCTTATAGATGCAGGAATGGAATATTCCTATATTAAAATTTTTTTCTGCATGTAGGCAAGCAAAAAAAAACAAAAAAATTTTTTACAGCTATAGAAAATGAAAGTGAGTGTGAGAAATAGAGATACTGGACATAATGTTCTATAGGTTTTAAAAGACTTAAGGAGAAGGAATGGAAATATGTGGTCTTTACTTCTTTGCACTAGAGTAGTAATAGCTAATGGCTCTTTCTACCTGGCATGCAGCATCCTGTAATGACTATTATTAATAGAGCCAGGCTGATCGTGAGGCACCATGGCTATCTCCAGGAAAAGTGTATGGTGGAATTTAACTACAATGGCTTCTATTACCTGGATATGCCCTTTGGTACACCTATTTTACTAGAGATGTGTGAAAATAGGAAAAAGTCAGCTCACTCAAAAGATAAGCTGCCAGTGGGACTTTAAGAGGCTCCCATTACATTCCCCTCCCCTGGAGATGTTTTATTCCCCTCCTCTCCTCCAGTGTTCATCTCAATGCATTAGCATTGCAGGGGTTGCAGAGGTGACTAGTTAAGACAGAGTGTGCCCTTGCAGAATTTGCAGGATAACAAGGGTCATAGAAAGTCTAAGTGTCCTGAGAGAAGACCAGCTAAAATGCTGTGATTCAGCATCATTCCTAAAATGGGTACCAGTTGAGCAGCAATACCTGCCAACTGTTAATTTCTGCTTAAATGCCCAACTGCAGAGTACATGCCTTAGATTCTGCTGTTAAATTGAGGGGATAGGTGATATCATATAAACCCATGTCTTGTTTTCCCTGACAGCAAGGAAATGGTGCCCTATGACTTTATTTGGAAAGTATGTAACTCAGACTGAGGAGAATAAGTTGATGTTTTCACCTCTCATATTTATTTCTGAAGCAGAAAATTTACTAAGTTAAATCCTGAACTAGGAATTAGTAATGCTAGTATAGCTAATTGTTAATATATATACAGCTCTTATAGTAGTTCCCGGCATAAACTCATTACTATTCAAATATTTCTTATTCTTATTTATTGGGTGCTTACTATATGCCAGGCAATGTTTTTAACCTCTTTTTATTAAATTTTTGTTTTTTGAGGCAGAGTTTCGCTCTTGTTGCCCAAGCTGGGGTGCAATGGTGCAATCTTAGCTCACTGCAACCCTCCGCCGCCCATGTTCAGGCAATTCTTCTGGTTCAGCCTCTCCAGTAGCTGGGATTACAGGTATGTGCCATCACTCCCGGCTAATTTTGTATTTTCAGTAGAGATGAGAGCTCTCCATATTGGTCAGGCTGGTCTTGAACTCCCAACCTCAGGTGATCTGCCCACCTCGGCCTCCCAAAGTGCTGGGATTACAGGCATGGGCCACTGTGACTGGCCGTTTTTAACTTCTTTATAAGTTTTCACAAACTCCCTAGAAGTACTTTTATTATCCCCATGAGGAAACAGGTTGAGAGACTTCAAGTAATCTGCTCAAGGTCAGAAAGTGAACAAATGACAGGTCAGGCTTCAAACACAGACAGCCCATGTGCTTGAACAGTGCTGCTGGCTTCCCAGTCTTACCAAGGCCTAATCCTATAAAATTCCATTGACTCCCTAAAGTGATGGTGTAGGGAATGCTAACTGATGATAAAGAAAATATGAAACACTCACAAATCATTTAGTGAGCATTTCATTAGTTGGCTTCCTCCTCTGACCTTGAATTGAAACTCTCTACTGCAAACTAGTTAGAGAAAAATTGTATTTGCAAATAGTTTTGAAAGTTTCAAAGTAAAACCAACCATCCTTTTTTTCTTTTTCTTTTTATAAAGTAAAGGAATAAGGAATGGCTACTCCATAAGCACAGCAGCCTCTTTTTTTCCTTAAAAGAAAAATAGCTGGCCAGGTGCAGTGGCTCACACCTGTAATTCCAACACTTAGAGAGGCTGGGGCAGGTGGATTGCTTAAGCTCAGAAGTTTTGAGACCAGCCTTGTCAACATCATTTTTGTGTGTGCTTTATGTTATGTATTGATTTATTTTTGAAACATAGTCTTGCTCTGTTGCCCTGGCTGGAGTGCAATGGTGCAATCTCAGCTCATTGCAACCTCTGCTCCAGGTTCAAGCGATTCTCCTGCCTCAGCCTCTGGAGTAGCTGGGATTACAGGTGCTGGCCACCACACCTGACTATTTCTTTTTTTTTTTTTGAGACAGAGTCTCTCACTGTCACCAGCTAGAGTGCAATGGTGCCATCTCGGCTCATGCAACCTACAACTCCCTGGTTCAATTGAATAAATAAATATCAATCCGTAACTTGCTGCTTAAATTTGGTGTGTGTGTGTGTGTGTGTGTGTGTGTGTGTTCATGTGTTCATTCTCATCTAGTTCATTAATTTTTACTGCTTTGTAAAACTGTTTTTTTTTTTTTTTTGAGACGGAGTTTCACTGTTGTTA